CTCATATGACCTATCTTCAATAATATACATCTTCCGTACAATAAAATTTCTGTATTGTAATTTAATGATCCTTGACCTAAAGGTATAATTAAGAAGCTGTATTTAATGGTAAAAATTGAACTGCTATAGCTTTCAGAGTGGGAATCATCAAATGTGCATTGCAATTGTTGACAAAAAAAATATATTTTCTGTTTTTGGCAATCATGTAGGTGTAACTTTTCAGCTGGTTAGAAAAATACTCTGATGCCATCCATGTTTTACTACTTGCTGTGTACATGGTTCCTACTCAAATTTTTGTTTTAAATACCATGACTTTCCCTGACCAACTTTGTGCAAATTTTGACTCTCATGTCCCTTACAGTATGACACATTGACAAAATAAAACAGCATTTGACTTACAATGCACACATGCCATTGCTTCTCCAATTTTTTAAATAGTTAATTTTTCTTATTAACAGTTATATATTTTTATAATTGCCATATTATTAAAACTAAAAATAAAATTTTTTATTAAATTAAACTAGTTTATCCAGTTATTAATCCACAATCATAAATCTACATGACTTGAAAAAAAGCAATTATTTATTATTCATTAACAAATCCTGTATAATCAATGTACAAAAGTATATATTTATTAAATTTATCCCTTAATAAATTTCCTGATTCATAGACCGGAAAAAAATCAGAAATTGTTGTTATGCAACCAAAATTATTAAAATGAAAAATGATAAAAACAATTTAAAATTATTTATCATTTTTTTGTACTTTGTAAATTTTTGGGGAACTCTTGTGTATGTTTGGGAGATATTTTGGGTCCTGAAAATATTTTGCACTCATTTTCATAAGTTGTATTGCATCATATTACTTCTTGATGCTTGTAGATGGCTACACTTAGTCAAGCACAGTCTGCAAAAAAAATCAACAAGGCAGTCGAGGAAGAAAACACAGACTTTTTTACTGACAAATTCCCCTACTTTCCATAACTCTTTCCAAACACTAATAAAAATCCTTAACTTTCCAGGTGTATAGGAATCCTATGCATATTACATAGGTAATACCTTAGCATTGCAGAATATTAAAACAGTACAGATTTTCCAATTAATAATAATGACAGTTCTGTTATCTGTCATGTTCACTCCCAACAGTTACAAATTCTTTGATTTTTTTTTATCTCCATGATATAAATTACCTTTGAACATCATTTTCCCCAATATACATTTAAAAAATAAGCCCGTTTCATGTGCATTGAAATCATTATCAAGGTTATAGTCCTGTACAATTTCTGGAAAACTTTTCAACCACTTCATGCAATTCCCATTTTCACTTCTGCACTTTCACCAGATTTTATGAAGACTATTCCATGCCTGTTTTTAAATTTATCCAGCCACCCGCTGCTATTTGCTTGAATCTGGTATGTTCCAACAGTTGTCCAAATCGCTCAGCTTTCTATTTTCCATCCACACAAGAATTCTTGTCTCTACACTATATAAACCTCTTCAGCATCGGGATAATCACATTTATGCTTGTTTCGGCTATTCTGTTGCTCATTGAAACTTTCAAAAATCCTCTGCCTTTTTAAATATGCAGAGATAGAATGCAATAAAATGTCATATTCTTTTGCAATTTCTAAATTTTTTCTTTTTGCCTTCTTTCATAAATTTGTCTATCAATAACTCATTAAGCTGCCAAATCACAGCTGTGTTCATTACATTTTCAAAATTGAAAAGTAAAAATAATGATTTTAAAGTACTCAGATTTGATTGGTCAATTTGTATTTAAGACTACGAATGATTGTTACTCTAATTAAAAAACATCAATATATTTTGAATTTTATGTTATGCAATCAGATGCACAATTCTATACACCACCAATCTTCAACTTTATATCATCCATCCACTTGGAAGATGCAAAAGAATACACACAAAACTAGACATGAAATAAAGTCTCTGATCTTAAATTTTGAGTTAGCAAAATGTGATCTTAAAACTACTCTGACTTATAAAAAGAAACACAGAATGCATTATTGAGTCTAGATGGGAGTTAAGTCAGGGGGGAAAAAAAATCTGAGTTGGCAAGAATTTTGAGTTAAAGAATTTCAATTTCTCAAAAGTCTACTGTATTAAGAAAAAAATTTTATCATAGTCTTCCTGTATCATCCAAGCACTTAAAAAAATAAATCATTTTTGCAAGTAATATACAGAACAGCAAACTTCAAAATATTCCTTGTTTTGGAGATAGTTATGATTATTTAATAAGAATTGTTTAATAGCATAAATTTGATTCAACAATTAACTGAAGTTTTTGTTAGAATCAGAAGTATCAATAAAGTTTTGATCAATATAATGTTTTTTCAATTCTCTGATGTCAATATCAAACTATATACAAAAGTATGTAGGGCAGGAAAGAGTGCTCCTATTGCCAACCCTTCCAGTGGTTGATCATTAAGATGAAATCTGTGTATAATTAGTCCATCTGAACAGGTTTAGGCAAGCTATCTTCACAGGAAGCACCATAAGATGATTCCATTCTCAATGGCATGTAAGAATAATGGGTTACCTCATTCACAGGGATGGGAAAAATTATTGTGCAACACCATTTCAAACATATTAGGGCCCTAGAAGCCTTGGAAATATAAAAGGCCAGCCTGATTGGCAAATCTATTAACTTTGAGGAAAACTTTGGAAAAACAGTCTCTCATGCATGGTAATTCTTTTTTGAAAAACTGAGGAGGTCCGACATAATTTAAGTTTTATTAATTGGTATTAAGTTATAACGTAAATTTTTATGTGTGTTAAATTTTATATTTACCGTCATTTAAATTCTTTTGTTATATAGCATTGTTTTTGTTCCAATTTTTAAAAACAATATTTTGAAACATTTGTTCTTCTCATTTCAATTTGAAATTTTCATTAATTTAAAGACCTGAGGCAGACCTTGGTCAAGGTTAAAAACACTTGTCAAAAGTTTTTATTAAAAACGTTTTGTTACTGGACTTTAAAGGTTGTTTACAGTTTGTGATTTGTTTCAGTATGAAGAAGATAATTTTAATGACTACTGGAGTTTGTGACTTTTTTCATGACGTGTCCATGATTGAAAATGAGCTTGCAAGGTCTCTCTTTTACAGTTGCTACATATGTGACTCTCAATGAAGGAAAACACAGTTGTCGACTGCTATAAACTATCGTGCAACTAGGCTGATTGACTACTGGAGCAGAATAACCAGTAATCAACCACTGATGCAAACTGAAAATAAAATTAACAATTGTATAATTCATAGTTTTAAAAATCTTGCAGGTGTCAGATCATAAAATTGCCACCAGTAAAAAGCAGTCCAAAAATGCAAAATAAATCAGTATACAGAGAAAGCACTCTCTGACACTGCTATTAGAGCTGTATCAAGTTCTGAAAATTCTGAAACTATCCAGTCCAATTCAAATCAATCTCCAACAATTCCAAATAGATCATCACACAGAAACATGTCTCCTGGCTTTTTTCATCATTTGTATCAGCCACGACCAATTGGTACAAAAAAGAAACATGAACAAAAAGAATGTCCACCAAGTGCTATTGCATCCAATTCATGGAGTGTGTTCATATTACAAAATAAAGAGTAAAAGCAAGCAAAACAGAAAAAAAAGAAAGGAAGAAAACAGAAAGACTGAAGAGAAATGCTAAAAGATCTTCCAGGAAATGTAGTGGCAGAGAGGGGGAAATGCAGAAAATTTCTTGCATCACTAAATACAAATGAAGTTGGGATCACTGAGAAGCAACAGTGTACAAACTGTGCTCAGGATTCAGATAGTGATAGAGAAATGAACTAAAAAATGTCGGCTGTGCTTATTGCAGCAAGTGGTACCATTTAAAATGTTCATCAATAGCAAGAACCCCTTATTATGATGCTGCAACAATGCAGCTCATATGTGATGTTTGTGTAGTAAATAAACCATAATTCACATAAATGTTTATGTGTAAGATTTCCCACTTATCCAACCGAATTTATATAAACAAACATTGTAATTGACTTCTGCAATTGACAATTGGATCATCAGACTTGGAAATTTCATGGTCAACTACTGGGTGAACAGCCAATGTGATTAATTTTCTTCCATAATTTAACAAAGGTCAAATAAAAAATGTTTTCTTTTCCATTACAAGTATAGAACAAACTTTATTTTCATATATGAATTTTGCTTTTAGCATTACTACATATCGTAATAAAAAACATCAAATTCCAAAACAGCTTTAAATAGTCGCGTACTGGCGCCATCACCCTATAGGTATCAATTTTAATAATAATAAAATGAGGTAGAATTATCAATTCTTCAATATAATCATATATATCTAGAACTGGAATTTAATCATAACTCAACATAAATATACGAAATCAATTTAAAAATTAAGAATCCAAAATGGTTTCTTAAATTATAATATGATTGTATAAAAATTGAGTATTATGGATTTATTTTTATTTTAATGATAAATACTATATTAAATTCAATTTTATATATAAGATGAATGGTAAGGAATGATTCAAATTTACATTCAGCTTACTTTTTTAGGTCAAATGTGGTTTTTAAGTGAAATAGAATTCAAACTGAAAACAAATTTATGTTTTTTGTTCATATTTTCAGCAAATATGGTGCCTATATGTGATTTTTAACATGTGTTCCAAAGTTTATTTTCTATTTCTGAAAATGAGTTTTGATATTTGTTAATTTCTCAAGTAAAAGATTACTTCCTTTTTTTTTGATTTTCAAATAATAAAAATGGGATTCACGATTTTCAACTGGTACAGAAACTAATAGCACAAATGTAACAAAAATACTCTTATATTACGTAACGTAGAATCCTTTGTAAATTTGAAGTGAGTAAAGTTTCATTTCCATCTTTAGAAATTTGATTAAAATAGTATGTGAATTCTACATAGGCCTAAGCCTATTTATTCTAATTTTTTTTTAATTGTTTTATTCGAAAATGATAATTATGTATGTCGTACTTACACGTGTAATTTCTTGTACACTTGTCTTGTAATTCTTTTTCGTTAAATTAGCAATAGAATAACTTATATCAGACAAAGCAAAAGACAACGAATCTAGGTTCATAGTTCCATGAACACAACCTGGAAAGCTTCAACTAGTATTGAAGCTTTCGTAAAAATCGCACACGTAAACTTGAGTTTTCTATGATTTACTGTACAATATCCGACGTTGTTGTCGTGTCGTTTAGTGTAGTTCAACAACATCAGGATCACCTTTCCAACTTCTTCACCTAAACATAATGGCGACCGTTTTCTTAACTTTAACTTTCCAATGATTATATTTAATCTCGTAAATCATTTTTAAATATCTTATAAAAGTATCTAAATGACTAAAAATAATAATAATTATTGAATTTATAAATTTTTTTAACTAGCGAATATAAATAAATGAATCTATTTATAAATTCGTTGTAATTGATGAATTCATTTTTTAAAAAAATTAAAAACTAAAATTATTTAGTTTTATAATATTTTTCTTTATTTTCTTTGTGATTTAACAGAAAGTTTATATTATAAAAATTATCGAATATTTCTATAAACTCTTTCCGCCTGTGTGGACACCAAAAAAAGCATTTTTAGTAAGCTCATTTTGGGTTCGGTCAGGCCCACAATGGGGCGGGATGGTGGTTAAAAACGGGGCCCGCCATAACCGGATGGATCACCCCCAAAAAATTTCAGGGGATTTTTAACCCGTCCGGATTCGATTCCAGAACCCCCAGAGCGGTAGGCTGCCACCTTGACCGCTCGGCCATCCGGTCGTCAGGGTGGTCGGTTGATGAGAGAAGGGGGCCCGACATATTCTGACAGACCATTTTTGAAAAACACCCTTATATTTTTCGACCCATTCGGATTCCCAGTACGATAGACGGACACTTTAACCGCTCGACCAATTTTAAGTATCGAAATCAATGCCACTGATCTACCCTAGAAAACCGAAATATTTTTTTCGAATTGTTTATATATTTACCTAAAATAAGTGTTTAGATACAAATTTAAACATTAATAAATTAAAATATATAATAGGCGATTCTATACAAGTGTAAAAAAGCACATGCGAAATAATTATTGTTAGTTATAAAAAAAAAAAAAGTATTGGTTACTAGCAGACCCCGCCACGCGTTGTTGTGGCTCAAAATGTATCTATTATAAATGTATAACACTTCCCCCGTGGGGGGGAATTTTTCGAAAAATCCCTTCTTAGTGTACATTCTCTTGACGTACCCTATTAAGGCTGCGTACACACTAGGCGTTTTTAAACGCGCGTTTTAATAAACGCGCGTTAGCTCGGCGTTCGACGAGCGTTTTTGGAGCGTACGCACTGGCTCAGTTTGGAAATGGACGTGGAAGTAATTGCTTGTGTGCCCCTCCTCCATCGTCGCTATAAAAGACGATGGCAGAGGCAAAGAGAATTTTGGGTGCACCCAATATTACGAGATAGACTTATACATGGAATGTTTGCGACGTTGTATCCAAAACTAAGACAAAATGAACCCAAGTTTTTTAATTCTTTTAAAATATCTATAAAATCCTTTGACGATGGTTGGTCTCTTTTAGATTTCATCAATAAATAGATCAGTATCGAAATGATCGTTCTCCATTTCAGCACATATATCTCAAAGCGCTCGGCTGACGCCCGCAAAACGCGCGTTTTAAGAGAAATCTATAAACGCGCGTTTAACGTGCGCTTGTCCAAAAGCGCACGTTTGAGTGTGTACGCCTATATAGAACTCTTGGTTCTTTAAAACGCGCGTTTAAAAACGCTTAGTGTGTACACAGCCTAAAACGAATCAAAAACGCAAAAAGCTGCATCTAAAATAGTATAACAGAAGACAAGTTCTTCACGGTAAGCCTTAATCCTGTCTCTCTCCCCCGCGGGGGTAATATCGAAAAATCCCTTTTTAGTGTATATTCTGTTGACGTACCCTATTAAAACGCAACCAAAAACGCAAAAAACCGCATCTAAAATAGTATAAATAGAAGCAGAGTTCTTTACCGTAAGCCTTAATCCTAACCATCTCCCCCAGTGGGGAGAATTTCGACACGTATATTATATAAAAACACGTGCGTATTCGAATGCAGCGTTGTGTCAAAATTTCAAAGGAATCGGTAGGAACAAACGAACATTACATTTTTATTTATATAGATAGATAGATGATCTGCTTTAGTTCATCCTCAGAAAAGCACTTAGGTAGTCGTAGTCGTAGCGCCATCTGTTGGACATAAAAGCGTTAAACCTAGATGATATCTTTTAATTTATATGAATGTTTAACGGAATAATATACAGCCTATGTCCACCCTGAAATTCCATTCTAAATATTGGTGAAAGAATTTTTGAAATCGAATGAGTAGTTTCTGAGATTACCCGCTACATCCAAACTTACAAACATTACCTCTTTATAATATTAGTAGAGATAACGATTCACATTCCTCTTTTCCAGCTATATGTTCTTTCAATTTTCTTTTATTTATGTTTTTCCCCGTAAGAACTAAAAAAGCTTACGACCAAGCCCACAATAGGGACGATCGAGTGGTGAGAGAAAGAACTTGACATATCCAGGGCAAACTACCCATCAAAAAATTCCTTAGGTTGCTATATGGATATCTGACCATACGCGTAAATACACGATCGTGTGACGATAAGTACAGGATTTGCTCTAGTTGCGAGTCATGACACGTTTCGCATCATATGGACACTTGTGGTGTTAAAAATCGCATGTCGTCACAATGCCTTTGTGCCTTACGTCTTTTCTTGCCTCCCCCTTCGCCACGTGGTGGGTCCGACTCGGTGGAGAGGAGTTATGTAATTCTGGGGTGTGTAACCGTGGGTGGGAGTTTTATGGTAGGATGTGCCTCGGGGGAGAAGTGCAGAACGGAAGTGGAGAGAGAACGGGGAAGTAGGAAAGAAGAGTGGTGGTGAAAGTGAGTGAAAAAAGTAAAAAGACTGTGCAAGCAAGTCCGTGTGAGTTTTCAGAATTTGGAACTGTTTTCTACCCAGAGTGAAGGAGAGGAAAAGATATGACAAAAACTCCATTTCTGTCGGTATGTTTCTATGTCTTCATGTTACGTGTGCTTGAGCAGTTTATTGTCGGAAGATTTTTGTTAACGATACGCGATATACTAGATTTGTCGGACTCAGTATTTTCCTGTGTCTCATCTTTGTTTTAGGAGTACTGTATGCTCCCAAGTATATTAAAGGAATATTTTATAGAATTTGATAGTTGTCTTTGTCTAGTCCCTATTAAGTCCAGTGGATTCCCCCTGATAAGCGTCTGCTCCACCAAGCACGCTTGTTATAAATCCTCCCCTCGTAGAAGCACTTACGTTTTATCGTGTTGATTCATTCTCACGATATTTTTACCCTCACACCTTCCTACTCTCATCCAGCTGACATTGAATACCTGGGCTTTATCCATTCGGACAAATAACCGAATCATGTGAGAGAGGTCTAACTATTTAGAAAGAGTAACCCAAAGATCGATTTTAATGTTTTCCTCTTACTTGAAGGTTGTTTTAAATATTTCGAATGTTAATAAAATTATTATAAAACTAATTTTGACAGTATAAATTAAAATAAAGCAGATAAGAATAGTAGTGACGTCGTGCTTTAGTCTAAAAAATGACGATCGGTTATCTTGCTGTTGTAGTTAAATTGAATTTCAGACAGTCGCATCAATAAACGTTTTGTAATGAATTTTTCTATTAAATCTCTGGAAATTTAGTATGGTTAAAGATATTCGAGCTCATCGTATATTTCATCATACAGTAGCGCGTCGTTTATCCGAATCAATTGGGGACTGGGGTGGTTCGGATAACGAATCATGTACGAAAAAATATATTAATTTATCCCATGTTGAAATTTCTCTCCGTTGCGTGTCGCTTCGCGTTGAATTTTCGTCGATGTTAAGCCTAACGAAGACTATCGTTAAAAATTACTTTTTTATTTTGTACAAACAAAATAAATTTATTGAAAAATATAAAAACAATAAAAAATTATACTTCAGATGTTAATTTAGTATCAAAAACGTAAAATATTTGAGTAGCCCGAGAAATAGCCGAAGATTGCAGCGCCACAGCACTAGCGAAAATTTAAATTTGCCGACTGGAATGCTTTCGGATAACGGACGTTTCGGATAACCAGCTTTCGGATAAACGACGCTCTACTGTATTTGCAATATGGCAGTTGGTGATTTTTTTTTTTTTTGGTTTTATTTTGTTTATCGAAGGCACTAAGATAGGGATGTTTTAATCTTATCCATCCTTGGTTTCTTAAGATCCATAATGTGGGCTGCCGAACTATATGGAACGGGACTTAACACATCATCGCCCTGGGTTCTTCAACAGCCCGAATTCGATTTGAAAGCCGTAGACTGAAGTCTTAACCGTTCACACTAGGGTTTCTCATTTTCCGGTCGTTTGCTTGTCCAGGATTTCGAGGAAAAGTGATCCCGGGGTATAATTAATTATTTTTAAGATATAAAATAAGTCTCGAATTGAATGATAAAAATATTTTTCATTGTTTAAATAATTTAATACGTCCTACAACCTCCAAAATAATAATATTAATAATGCTGTGTAAAATATGCATTAAAAATTATTTTGAATGTGTAAAATTATGTATTAAAAATTACTTTTGAATTAGGTAGAAATTTTCAGAAATAGAAAAGAAATGCCGCATCAATTAAACTAAACACGTTAGATATTTTGCATCATTTACGTCTTAATGAAATACATAATTGTTTCAATTTGTAGTACAGTATTTTGATGGTGGAATCTCAACAATTTTTAATAATAGAAATTGTTTACAGTTGAATTTTCTCATACTTTAATTGACATAATTTGGTATATTTTAAAACTTTATCGTTTATTTTTATATTCAAAACAATGAAATGAAAATATTAATTTGCCCAAAAAGTTCTGTTTTTAAATATGTAAATGGAAAATTTTTTATGGAACGAAATATCTTTATTCAATAATAAAATATCCTGCGTTGTATAACGAGAATTATTATCGATGAAACAGTTCACTTGTCATTGTGAATCTATCGTGGCAGGCCAGGGTGCTTAGTCTCAAGTTATGTGAGTAGCATCACGAATGTGCTTGGAATATCACGTGTCATGAACTAATTCAGTGCATGTTCTCATTAAACGAATTGGCACCATGTGATATTCGCAACACGTTCGTGTTGCTACTCGCATTACTCGTGACTTGGTACAGTACAGTATCTAGAGCGTGGTGCAATGAAATAAAACATCATACTATGCCGAAAATGCTCCTTTCGGATGACTTTAAAACTATGCAAAATTATAAAATACCCAATCTTCTAGCTGTTTGGTTCAAATATAAGATTAAATGTTAGCTATCAAAGAACCACGTTTCTTCAAGATTTGAACTAAAGTTACATTTCATAGCGTCTGAAGACATTTCATAGAGTCAAAAATTTGCTCAAACTTTCCAATATTTTACTTTTTTCTTTCTTTTTTAAAATATATTTTATCAGAAAATATTTCTAACATTTAAAATTTAATTCACATACCAAGAACAATGTTATTGTTATACCAACCTTTATTCTTATTTTATTCTTTAGTACAGTAGTATATTTATTCCTAAATTTTAGTTAGAACAAAATCGTGCCCTTTCCCATACACTAACATCCATACATACAGAAACAGTTCCCGAATTTCTTTCTCCTTTTTTTGCATTTTTTGACGTTTTAAGGTCCCATGAGTCCAAAAATGGAGATGGAGTCATTTTTGACCGATCGCCATACTTTTCCTCTGTTACATATGAGGACACTGGGAACGTAAAATGTATTTCTGGTAAAGTTCCCACCTATTGTATAACTGCTGAAAAGTGCAATTATTGAGCTGCAATTTGAAATAATTTTAGACTTATAAATTCCCACTGGCATTAGTCTGCCATTCCCTAATCTCGAGAACGGTGTTACTCGTAGATAATTGAAATTCAAGACCAGATATGGAAACCTTAGGGGCAAGAGGCCACGATTAACTATATAAGAACTTTCTGATGAAAACCAGAAATTGTGTTATTTGAATTTGAATATTTTCCCATGAAAGTTGTTAGATTGATGATCAGTACGATGTTGTCATACTTTGTTTAAAAAAAAGTATGACGTACAAGGGCAAGCCATTTGCTAATTTGAGGTGAAAAGCATATACAGTATTTTAAATAAAATAAATTAAAAATTGCAGCTCGGCATTGTAACATTGTCACAATAAATAATTGCTCGTTGATAAGAGATAATTTTCACAATGTTGTGTATAGTTCTTACGTATTATTATTCTTATGCTTATGCTTAACGACAATAATCTAGTCTCAAATTTTTTAGTTTTTGATTTTTTTATATAAATAATTAATTAAATATATGAAAAATTATAAAATATTAATAATAGACTATAGTTATAAGTTATATATTAAACGTGAAAAATTAATGTTTATTATAATGTTCGTGTAATCGGAAAACGTAGTTTATTTGTTATAAAGTAAGTCTAATATTAAATAGCCAATTATAAGAATTTCTAAAGAATATAAATTTGAGATTTACGCGTAAATAAATGCTATAAGTAAAAGCAATGAGGAATCTCTATTGGATTTTCACGTTTGATAATTAGAGGAAGTCACATTTTCATTGTTCTTACAAAGAGAGCTTCATAGCATGTAAAACAAAATTAAAAATCATTAAAATTTTTAATAATATTATTTTAAAATATGTTGTTCTATCTGGTCCAACGCATTCTACTTGAGCATATTTAGAAATTAGCATCGAACTCCTATATTCTCTTCGAAGACGATATCTATTTATCAGTTAAGTCATACGAATTATGACTCGATAGAAGTTTTAGGCTCGTAAACTTCATTTCAATGATCAGATAACCGATTATTCCAACTATAAGAAACCCTAAAAGTATATATATTTTCAATTCTACGCATAAATAACTACTGTACGCGAAAGCAATGCTGAATCCGATGGATTCCCACATTCGATAATTAGAAAACGCAGCTTCTTCGTTATTCTTAAAAAGAATCCCGTAAAATGCTGAAACAAAGCAAAAGAAATTATTAAAATTTTGTAATAAATAATAATTTTGAAATAGTATATAACAAAAGACGCATCTACCATTGATTTGTGTTTGCCAAACAGCATCGGCAAGGCCCCAAACTCCTGCAATAACAAAATATATGACAATTGCATCCGGTTTGGGTTTCCAATATAAAAGAGAAATGACGGTAGCTAAATTAGCAGCTGTTGCAATTAAGAAAATAGCCATTCTTCCAATCAGTTTGACTAAAGGACCGGAAGCGAGTGATACCAATGCATTGACCACTCCGAAGCATATAGCCACCAAACCGATTCTGTACACTCCCAAGGAACATGCTATATAAGCCTATAAAATAATAATAATATAAATATAAACATTACAAAAAACAGGAAAAAAATTTATAAAATTTAAACGTATTTTGTTTAATGTTCTATTTTAAAATCTAAATTTATTTTCGAATGAACTTTGTAAGCAAAAATTTATTCCTTACGAGACCTTGAACTGTGTCTGCAACCGATGATATAAATATTCAGAATATTTATCACTATAAATCATTTCTTTAACAAAATCGATGTGTGGTTATTAAGTCAAGGTCTTGAAACTATAGTTGTTTTCATATTTAATAAACATATTTATCTCCGGATATTTAATACTTCAATACAAGAAATAACTTAATTAAAGAAGAAACTTTAACATATACATTTTAGAAGATACTCAATCTGATAAATTAATATTTCACATAGATATTTATAGTTTAATTAGTTAAATTTTCGCTTCTTCTGCCAAATATGACTGAGACACGAATAATATGCAAGAAAGTATTTGTTTATATTTTTTAATCATGTTTAATTTACGTAAACACAGGCGCAACCTGTCCTAGTGATTTGTTCTTATCTCTGCAAAAAATATTTGGTTAAAAATGCAACATCAAAAACTATTCGACCTTTTGTTAACGAATTTCATTTATATTTTCTAAAATTTAAAACTGTTATAAATAATCAATTTATATGTAGGAATAACAGGAAACGTTTAGGATTACAGCGTAAAAATTAAGTATTTTTAGACACGAATACGTTTAAAATGAATGGAAGTCGATTAAGAAACCGTAGAGAAAAAAAAAATCGATAAACATTATTCTAATTGATTATTGTTTATTTAATTATTTGGTGTAGACTTCGTGAAATACGGAGGAAACAGGATTTAATTTGAAATTTTTAAAAAGTAAGCATAATTAGATAACATATAAAATCTGTATTAATAATGCATATCGGTGAATTGGTAAATGCATTATTTATCTTATTATTTATCACTACATATTTTTATTAATCACAAAAATAGTTCCGTTTTATATCTCACATGATGTTTACTCAATTAATCAAATCTAGAAAAACGTGAACCAATCTATTTAGAATAATTAAAGTTATTTTTATTATCAGAAATGCAAATAAGTAATTCAGAAATGCTATGTTTTTGATAAATTCGGAAAACTTATAAAAAAATACATAGTAATAACAGGCGTATACATTCATTATTAAAAGATAGTCTATTATTTGACATTTCTATATAGAATAGAAACAGCAATTTAAATTATTGTATATTATGCATATTAATTGATTGTAAATCTATATTTTCTTTTCATTTTATTACTGTTAAAATATATATTATTTATTTAATTTTTAGTACAGTGTATAAAACTAGAAAGCAATTTGCTACCTTTAATATTTTTCCTGAAAATTATACGACATAATTTAAAAGTAAAGTGCTTATTACTATCTAATTTACATGAATGAATAAAATTAATTATAAAACTTTATGACTAAAAACGCAAATTGGATAAATTTTACGGACATTTTTAATAATATTCGATAGTAGAAATAATCACTCACCTTTGTATATTCACCAAGAAAAAAAGTTTGTTCGATTCCACTGTATATCGTTAAAGGAATTAATAAAAGTTGTTTACAATCTTTTAAATGCCTGAAAGTGGCTAGGAGTAGACGAGCAGATAGCTTTGCTTCTTTTTCTTCCTCTTCTCTAGTTAGAGGAGATAAGAAAATAGCCATTAATATAGCAGAGAGTATGCAACATCCCAAGTAAATTCCAATAAGCATATTTGTTTGATTTTCTGGTGGTCTTTTTAAATTAGCGCTTGTTTGATTTTGATTTGGACAAAATCCAGCTCCACAATGTATCCAGCTATCTTCGGTTACATTTTGTGCTGGAGGTTCGAGAATCAGCCACGAAATAAGATTACCCCAGATCTGACTGGTTTGAAAAAACATGAAAAAAATTCCAAAAAATCGGACGATGATAACATCAACCTTCTCGTTTACTAATCTAGCGTATTTGAAGCCGATTTCATTCAGGTAAGTGCATTTTGCAGACCATAGACAAGAAGCACCGACTCCTAAAATAGCAGCACTAGGAATCATAGTTGCCATAATCGGATAGAAGTTAGAAGCGATATAAGGAGCATACGAGATTATGGAAAGAACCAAAATCAACTTACAACCCAATCTTCGTATACTGTAAGTCGGCAAGAACATAGAAGACAAAATCAGCGCTGCGTAAATGACACTTTGAGAGAATAATCCAACTTCATTGTTTAAGGTACTTTGAAGATTAGCTAGAGCTTGAAAAGCAGTAAACAACAAGGTAAAACTTAAACAGATGACTATCAAGTTAATTACAATTTTTCGTTTGTTCATAGGATCTTTCTTCATTTTTACTTCGTTTTCATGTTTAGTTACCTTATTGACTCCTTTCGCTTCGACGTCATTGACGATAATTTCGTTCTTTTCTACTGGAAGTACCATAGTTGCGAGCCTGTCGCTTCGAATAAACTTTATGAATCAAGCAATATACAGTAGATACGCAATCATTCAACGAGATACGGATATTGCAACACCAAAGTACTGTAATATGACAACGTCGGATCGAAAATGAAAGTGAAGTTTTCTCAAGAAATGATGGGCAAATGTAACACATACACGAACATTTAGTTTTCAATAAATATTTGTTAAAAATAAATACACTCTAGTCCGAATTTAATTAACCAAAATTATTTTGTTGTCAGGACAACAATACAGATAACTCGTTTTTAGTCAATAAAATGCGGATTGAAGTTTTAGGAGAATTCGATAAGAAAAATTTGATTAACATCTCAATATCATTAGATAAGAGTGACTTTAGTTTCTATTCTTTATCTCATCATAAATCTTTGAAAATAATTCAGTTCTATTAAATAATTCCTAGTAGGGATGCAAATTATTTAATATTAATTAAAACAATAAATAGCTACAACATAATTTTGAATTTTAATAAATATTTCTTTAATTAATTTTTGTATACATTACACGAGCATAAAATAACAATAAAGTAAAAAAATATTTCCATCAAAAAAACTTCAAAAAGTCTAAATACGTACTAAAATAAATAAATACTAAAAGTGATAATACTAATCACACTGATTTTTTGTTTTTGTATTTTTAACTCTATATTAGAATTCAAAATATAAAAGTACTGTAGATTAGTTAAATATTTAATTAAATAATTGGCAATAATAGGAAACAAAGCAGAATTTATATAAAAGTACTGTATTGCAAGCTGACAAAGTAATTTTTTTTGTGTTTTTTGTTTTTAGTGATAACGTGAAACTTTTTAAACTGCTATTTTTAATATTTTCTAATTTTTCAAAGCTGATATTTCAAAAGTTTCGAATTTATAAAAATTTGGTATGCAAGAAATTTTGTCTCTAATCTTTATGCGTTTACACAATCTCGTATAGATTAATTCAAAGATAAAATTATTAAATGTAGTTTTAATTTTCTATTAATTTTATATAGGCCTATACACTATAAATATGTAAGGAAGTAGTCTATAAATATTTAGAATTGCTTACTCATAATTAATAATCTAGTAGCCAAGATGTTATAAATCATAAAATTTTAGATAATATAATGAATTGGGATAAATTAAAACACAAGACGTAATACAAAATCCCGAAAATTTATAAAATATTTAGAATTAAGTTCTGATTTAAATTGAAGAATAACACATTCATTTTTAAGACGTGTAATTATCGCTGTTTTCAGCTTCTATTTTTTTTCCTAGAAATCTTTACATTCGTTTGTTTGCATTTGATTAGCTGCTCAGTTCACTGTTTTTGCTTCCGAAATGATAATGAGAACTAAATTGAATAAGCAGAAAAATCGTTTTGTTATTACTTTTCTGCTTCTGCTAGCGAATATCTGTAAGTCCAATTTATGTTTTCTGCTTCAGACATTTATTCGTTATATTGTATTATGTTTTCAATTGCTTATATTTCGGCAACAACTTTATACAAAATCTTGAAATTTTACACACTTCCTAAGAGAACAATTTTCTTTCGAACAAGACGAGATATTCGAAATTACTATATGTATTTGGGGGGCAGAGAAATCGACCCTCGAAACCGGCAACTCTGATTCCTGTATATGTGGTCAGTCAGTGACTTTTTTACTTGCCGGGGAGACACTACCGTGACTCCTGATATAAGACACTAAATGATTAAATGATTGGATCAAATGTTATCCGTTATTATTCAATATAGAACGTCCTCAATATATGTTATACTTAAAGTGAACACTATAGTAACTGAACCAAATTTATACAAGATAAACTGTATTTATCTTGTATAAATTTTTATTACAATGAAATATTACATGTACTGTATAGTGAAATATATTATATGATGTATAACACCTTATTCCCTATACTCATAAATTAAAACAGTTATTAAATATTTTTCAATAAAGCTTCACGTGTATTATATATATTTGTTACTTTAGCTTATTGAAAATTAATTAAGCTTCATATTGTTCGATAGTTTAATAAGTCGATGTTTATCGAGTCCTTTCCTGTGTTGATGAAGATAAATAAGCGCTTTCGTATTCATTGTTGATTGATTTTTAATCTAGCGGATAATTTAATTATTATTAGATTTGTTCTTTTCTTTTAGCGTGAAGTTTCGAGTTTTGTAAATAAAATTATACGTAATAAATATTTAATTTAATTAAAATATTCCAACTTCAAATTTCTTCCGTTATTATTAATACTTCGCTCTACCGCTCTGACATCGAATTCGTAGAACCCAGAGCGATCTGTACCTGATGTGTCAAGTCCCGTTCCATATAGTCCGGCTGCCCACATTGTGGATCTTCAGAAACCAAAAATGGTTAAGATTAAATATGCACAAGAAATTCTGATTTGAAAGATATGTTTGAGGCCAATGTCAGTTTTATAAAAAAAAAAGTCTGTAATGATAAATTAGCTAACCTAAAAAAACTGGCGATGAGCATTACAGCTGCAATGGGAACCACCTATCTTTGTGAATCTTTTTTCTCAAAATTGAAGATTGGTTAATGTAAAAGTCATAATAGTTTCACTTTAGAATACAAAATACTTTATAATTGTAAATGTTTTGTTGTAAATAAATATGTGCGGCTCACAGTGTATTTTTAGTTTTGGTGTTGGCCCAGTAAACATCTTCGGTTGGACACGACTGATTTAGATATCTGTAACTAGTATCTGAAACTATAAAAAGTACAATTAATTAAACTAGTAAAATATTCAATATGTTCAACATAAATATATATATTTTTTTATTAAGAAACGTCTATTTTTAGTATGTCAAGTTCAAGTCTACATATTAATGCAAGGAAATAAGTTGATTCTATAGATAACATTTCATGCATTTTAAATTTATAATTGAAACAATTCCACGAAATTAAATTACTTACTCATATTTTACTTACTCATATTTTAATTACTTACTCATATTTTTCATTAATATTTAATAATACATTAATAATATTAACGCACAAAAAGTATTTCAGTGAATTTGTGCTGTTAAGAAAAAGTTAGAAATGTGAGATTTGTTTTGCTTTGACTTTCATTTTTCATATTGGTCACTCGTTTTACAAAAACTACATTTAAATGTTTGTCCAAAAAAATTATTCCAGGTTTTAAAACTGAATGCCACCATATCTGAATAATGTACTTTCAATGGCATAAAGTTTAAAGCGATCAGCTCCACGCATTACACCTCTACCAGCTTGGAGAATTTTACATTCTAGTACAATAGATAATTAGATAACGCAATTTTCACTACGCCCGCTTTCAGTCTGAGTTTTGTGTATTGAACGAAATGAATATAAATAGAGTATACATAAGATATTTGGTATCAGCCTACCGTGCTACAGAATTCAGAAAAGAATCTGGGAGGTTCGAAAAACCTCAAGAATTCCCTCACCATCCGGCCGCCCCATTATGATCCTGGCCGATCCCACAATTTCTTCTTCTTCTTTTAGCGTTGTCCCATTAGCGCTAGTGTAGGGCCTGCTATTCGGATCTTCAAACGCCACCTTGCTCGATCAAGTGCGTGGTCTGGGTTCAGATGCAGAGCCTTCAGGTCTACGTTAATGGCATCTTGCCATCGCTGCCTCGGTCTTTTGCGCGATCGTCGACCGTTAACCTTTAGGTGGAAGGCAATGTTGGCAACTGTATCCAGGCGATCGTCGGACATGGCCAAACCAGCGCAAGCCATTGTGGGATCGGCCAAGTCCGTTGGTTTGGCCGATGGCTTGTTAAAGGCACTCAACTGCCCACAGGGCGAGAAGAGTTTAAAAAAGTTAATATTTAGATACGCCATTAATTTTTTAAAGCCTATAATAAAACATATAAAGAGTGTTCGCAGAGAGCGTAAGTAGTAATATTCTATTGATACAATATATAGGCTATGTATATATGTGTGTGTTTTCTTCTAGCACTCCTTTTTCTTGTCATGTATTAATCATTATACAGTGTATACAATGATTCTTTGGAAATACAGTATAATTCCTACGATTAAACAGAGTGATGACGTGGCTTGGATAAGATTCGGGGAAACGAGATTCGAGGTAATTGATCTTAACCATACCAATCAATATGTACTGTATATAATTTGTATATATTGTTTTATATATCGATAAGCCACACATTTCAAGATTACAAAAAATTTTTATTACTTTAAAAAAATTAAAATATTCTATTTTGATTAATTTAAAAAATAATTATTATTATTGAAATTCCAAAATCTTTAAAAATAAAAATAAAGTAAAAATATTTGTAGATGTCGTTGTAAGCAACTAAGCAATTAAGAAATGGAGCGAAATATGCGTTGAGAATGATAGGTAGAAGTTTGCTTTATTATTTTATGTAATTGGTTTTTTTTGATATGAATAAAGAATTGATTGTTAATGCAAGCGAAGCAACGAAACATTTGAAAGATATCTTGAGAATTGGAAACGCGATGGGTAAGAATACGAACATTTTATAGACTAAAGATTTCAAAATTGAATTAAAACCTGTCAGATAAGGTCGTTTTCTTTCTTCTTTTCCTTTGTTTTCACGACAAAATAGTAAATTTCGTGATATATGACAGTAAATACGATATTAAATACAAATTAAAAATTGTTCTATGAACGATATTCGAATCAGGAATTGTTTCTAGAAAGATTTATATTCTTTTTTTAATGTTCATATTCTATAATTTCTAATATAGATTAATGAATGAAATATTCATTCAAGGTGATTATATCATAAAAATTACGGATAGATGAGAATTAAGTTATGCTTTGAAATGTAATAGTAAACAGTCTTGTATTACAGAAATCGTAAATAATGTATTGCGATAAGATATACCTACAATAGTCACTGACTTAATCTTGGATTGGTGGATGCGTTCCGTGGAACCCTAGGATCCTTCAGTAAAATTTGTTATTGAGCTATAATTAAAGGTTTAAAATAAGTATGGAAAGTTTATTTAAATAAAGTTTAAAAAATTATTAATATTCTGTAAAAAGGGAGACTTATACACAGATGCTGTATGGCTCACATTTCTGGAAAATAAAATTTTGTGAGTTTAATGGTAGGAGAATCAAGTCATATTGGATCCTTTCCTGTGTATTTAGATTTTTGTATTTGAATACTAAATTATTTATTCTTGTCAGAGGAACTTTGACTAAGAGGTCTCAATATTTGAAGGCTTGCATGTTTATTTAGCAGTTATACTACTATATTACAGTAGACCCCCCCTATAATGCTTGGATATGTTCCACGTTATTCGAATTTCACGTTGTAGGAATCCTTAAATACATGAGCCAATCGCAGCTTGACACTTGTGAAGTTTACGGACTACGGCTGTTTGAAAGGTTTTCTTCCATAAAATTAATCAATTCTAGACTGATTAGACTCAACATTTCCAAAATACGTATAATTATTTGGGAATAATCCATATAAGCTATGCTATAAAAAAAAATTGTAGGATTACTTACCGAGTGTGCACTGTTCAACGTCGCCATTGCTTAAGCTTGTTTTCGTCGCGGAGCAGCGCACCAAACAGCAGCCGCAATTTCTGATGTTATTTTTCTGTGAAAATTTCGTTGAACTTTGGAGACATCATTAATATAAATAATTTTTATGGCCATTGAATAAGAAATGTTTCTTTCACAAGAAATGTATAAAATTAGTACTGTATTAGACTTAAGGTACCTAATTTACATACTGTACAGACGATAGTAAACTCAACTTACTCGCCTAAACTGTCCGTAGCGTGGCGCTAGACGGCAGAAAGTATATATATAATTATAATAAAGTTACAATAAATTAAGTTAATATATAATTATATATACAATACCTAATTTATATATAATTAATATATAATTATATGTACAGTACCTAATTTATATATAATNATTAGATGGTAATATTTCGAAAAATATCTAAGTACGCATGCTTTTCTAACTTAGGTTATTAAAATTTTTATTTGTTAAGAGACAAATTGACATTACAATCTGTAAAAACATTATAAAACAAAAAACAAATTTGTCGAAATTACATGCTTTATTTGAACATTTGCTTTCCTTGCCACGTGATCTATAATTACGTACTCTGCATTTTTGAAAATTTTACAATTTCATTGGTTAAAATTCTATACTGTATTGCATGCGCAGATAGTCTGAACATGTATAATCAACCTAGTAGTATTGTGACATTATAAATGAAGACGATATTGTTAAAAATGACCAGAATTGTTACTATTTGATGACAAATGACATCAAAACGAGAGACGTATTCGTCTTTCGTCTTGATGTCATTTGTCATTGAAAGAAGAGACGAGAGATAAGTGACCAAAATATGGCCCCTGGTCTGGTAGTAAGTGACTTGCAGGGCCTTAAACTCAGCCTGGAGGAACCTCTGGCCTGACTGTGTTGCAGAGAGAGATTTCAAAGAATTTGAGACAGAGCCTACTAGAGTTGTTGATAACATTGTATCTCTGAGCAAAAGCATGGACCTAGAAATTGGCAATGCTGATGTCGAAGAGCTGATAAAGGAACACGATATTGAGTTGTCTTACCTTCACTCAAACTCAAACTCCTTCAAAAGAAGCAACATAAGAATATGCTTGAGGAGATGCTCTTGGAGGAAGAAAAGAGAAGAGAGGATGAACCTAGTGCTCTTATTATTGACATGTGTGCAAAATGGGGTTAAGTCAAAGTTTTGTTGAAAGATATTACCCTGATAAGGCAGTAGCAAGATGTGTCATTAACCTTTTCAATGACAGTACTATGTCTCACTTTGTAACATTGTGAAACATAGGCAAAGGCAAATCTCATTAGATAAATTTTTAGCGAAAAAGAGGCCTAATGAATTCCAGACAGAATCTGCTAGTGAGAAGCAGAATATCCAAAAGGTAAGAGAAAAAACTCCTGAAGTGCAGTTACTTGATGTTATGAAGAGGAACTTGCACTCCAAGAAATAATGTCCCTTCCTTTCCACCTCTGTCCATCCTTCACTTGCACCATCAAGACTTCTCAGCACAAATAAGGATAAATGAAATTATCTTTCTTATTTATAAATGTTATGAAGTTATAAATTGTCTTTTTTATTTTATAAACTTTATTCGCTATTCAGTTGTTTTGTTATAATATATTATTACGTTGCATTTGTAGGCATTTTTTATGGATGAAATATAGCTAAAAAATGTAAAAAAATAAGGTTTTTTTTTGCAGGTTGGGAACAGATTATTGAATGTGAGGGTGGTTATTTTGATGAATAAATTGTGTTATTTCCTATATATTTTTATATTTGTTTTCTTTCGACAAAAAACGACAGAACTTTTTTGGTTACCTGATATTTTATGGTATGTACCGATAGTACAATTTACAGTAACATCTTCTCTAAAGCATCAAACAATAACAGCACCAAAGACTCATTCACTTTAATGAATTCAATTCAACCACTAGTTGAGCTCCCTGTACATCTATTGGTGAAATCAATTGTAAAAAGTAATCCTTCACATTAATTGCTAGTTTGAATTATTACTAATTGCCTATTGTTAATCTGTTTTTCATATGTTCAATAAATCATTTTTGATTTAATGTTTAATAAAACAACAAAAAATATAATCAGTAAATTTGTTAGGCTTTAAAATGTTATCAAGGTGGAAAGGTCCTTTAAAATAAATTGGAAACTGCTGTTCTAGATTATGTAGGTGTGTATATAAGTAAGTTAATTCCATATAAAATCATGGAATTATTAAATAGTTTAAACTGATTTCTAATTTTATTTGTAATGAAATTTATGTGTAATATTTGTAAAAAGTTATTTTATATGTGATCTAAATTATGTAGCTTCTTAAAGAAATATTTTCAGTGTAATTTTAGATGAATGAGTTTTTATTTTATCAACTTTCCTGTAATTTTATAGAATTATATAAAAATTATGATACAGTCGACCCCCCTATAAGACGGTAGATACGTTCCGTCCTTTATGAATTGATTTCTTACGAGTCCTTGCCGGCGGAAAATATATATATAATCAGGGATGCACAACCTTTTCTGAAGAAGGGCCAAATTAGGATTAAGTTTACTGACAGGGGGCCGGACCTCCAAGTGATTAATGCAATGTCTGATGTAATTTGTGAGATTCTTTGTTGTATCGTCATGTGATTAAGACTGATTGTTTGAAAAAACTGTCTTCTCAGGACACATCTCACTTGCGATGATAAGTCATTTTCTTATCATATCGCCATCTGTGAAAGGTTTCCCATTCTTGGCTATTAAAGCAGATATTTGTAGGCTGGCTTCAACAGCCGCATCCAGTTCTCCAGATTGTTTCTTGAACACATTTTGTTGGCTGATTAGTGATCGTCATAACGATTCGATTTTCCGTTTGCGTTCCGTACCTTGCAGAAGGAAATCCTTGTGTTGGCTTTCATGATGTCGCTTCAGGTTGAATTCTTTTGGCACTGCTATTGTTCCATTGCACAAAAGGCAAATAATGCTGTTGTTCTGTT